AATGTGGTCTTCATTATGTTGTTTGGGATACTTTGTGTAAATCAAAGGAGAAGGGAGGGCATGATCTTTATTCTGTTATAGCCAAGATAACTACATTGAGGGCTAGATTTACTTGGAATCTCATTAATAATCTTGGTTCATTACTGAATAGAATCTTGATTGCTAAGTATGGTGAATTTTTTTGGAATCTAGAGCCGAAGAGGTAAACTTCTCCTCCTTGTAAAATAATTCTATATGGAGCAAATTATCTTCAGAATATTGTGAGATGGAGAGTTTTGCATGGTTCTTCTATTAATGGCTTAAGGGATGTTGGGATTCTTGATAGAAGATTGGATAGGTGGCCCACTTTTATTGCTAAATTTGAAGATTATTCAGTTTTCCTATATTACTTTATTTCGGATGGGGGATGGGACATTAACAGGTTGGAGCAACACATTGGAAATAACCTTGTTGAGTTAATTTTTCTAATGCAGATTTGTCCAGAGCTTATACAGGATCACATAGAGCTTAAATCCAAATTTTTTGGTAAAACTATTGCTGCTATGGCATCAGGGGCATTAGTTGAAGTTAAGAGGATGATGATTATTAGAAGTGAGTAAAAAAAATTAAAGCTTAACTCTCAGGTGAAGTTATTTTTTTAGCAATTATGTAACAATGCTATCCCATCAAATAATTACTTATGAGAGAGAAGGCTATTTGATAATAACTTATGTCTTAGAGGTTGTCTTGAAAGTTCGACTGGGTTGTTAGACCTAATAAAATTATCTCAAGGTTAACTAAGAGGGGGTGAATTAGTAATTTAAAAATTCTCTTAAAAATTTAGAAAATCGATTTAATAAATTTAGCATAATAATAGATTCTCACAAAAGATTATGTAACCGCATAAAATAAAAGTGTAGAAAAAAATGTAGTAAAAAGTAAAGGCAGAATAACACCAAATTTTATAGTGGTTTGGTCTAACTAGACCTATGTCCACTCCCTGAAGACTCCTTTACGTATTGCACTATATCAAAGTGACTTTTCTTTTGCTCCCACAGCAAGGTGGAGAAGCCCTTATAATAACCTCTCTTCCACCATCCCCGATGCAGCAGAGTATCGTCGTTCTTTCTCACCCTCATGGTGATTGTAGAGTACTAATGTCCTTTCTCACTCTCTTGGTGATGGCAGAGTACCAACGTACTTTCTCACCCTCTTGGTGATGGTAGAGTACCAATGTCCTTTTTCACCCTCTAGGTAATGGTAGAGTACCAGTTCTTCTCCAAAGATCTTCTCTTAAGAGTCTTCAAATAAGTAGGCAGAGATTTCAAAAGCACACAAAGAGATTCCCACCTTTGGGAAACCTTGTAAACCCTTCACAAATTCTACTTGCAAGATCTCTCAAACTTCACTCCCAAACACTCTCCCAAAACACTCTCTTTTCACTCCCAAGAGAAAAATCAAAGCAGAAGTCTCTATGTCAGTTTTTCATGACACTTATATATGAAAAGCAAGAAAAATCTTACAAAAAACTGAGAATATCAAGCTTATGCATACTTGGATCATACAATATTATCATATTTCGTACGTATGAATAGTTCAAAAAGCTGTGTATGATCTTGTATGAACATAGTTTCATACTCTGTTAGTCGTATGTACGAACTAATATCGTATAGTATGAACAGTTCAAAACTGAATAGGTTCATCCAGTACGATTTTGTACAAACTCATTTCATACATCTGAATTGTCTGCACAAATAATATAGCGTGCAATATGAACAATTTAATCAAATCATTTTTATATGGTATAAATATGAATGAACCCATTTCGTACTCTGGACATTGTTTGTAAGAATCCAACATCATATAGTATGAACCATTAAAAAAATTTACGTATTCGTATGGGACGAACTGATAAACACCCATTTCGTACTCTAGATGTCGTATGTATGAATCAAACACCATATAATAGGATCAGTTCAAAAAATGGTGAGTTCGTTTGGGATGAACTGGTATCCATTTCGTACTCTAGATGTCGTTTAGCAAAGTCAACTTCATACAGTACGAATAGTTCAAGATAAAATTCCAAGGCTAATTTGATTAACTTAGTTTTGGATGAACTATCATGTCAAATCTTCCAGTATGATTCAAGAATTGTACTGTATGATTAGTTTTAAAAATAAATTATAATCACATTCTCTCAAACTCAAGAAAAAATAGAATATGTATAAATTTCAATTACAAGAAACCCTAATCTAGTCTGTCTTGAAGTCTTTGGCAGTCTGAAGTATGATTTTCCTGAAACGTTAGTACACAAACAAAATTTTTCCAATATATGTTAGGTGAAATAGTAATCAACACAATAATATTTTGGTATCATCAAAAACTCACATGATATAGAAACATAGTTTTAAAAAACTAAGTTGCAACATGTCTTACTATTGAAATTTATGATCATATTACAACTAATTGTGTGAACAAGTTATAGATGTTTTGAATGCATGGGGATTTATTGTACCATCATTCCTCTCTTTTGCGGATTGCAAAGCTGAGTTAAAGGGGATAACTGGTACTATTCCGTTTATGGCTAACATATATTGTACATTATTATACTTCTCTTGGAAGAGTAGGAATAAAATCAAGCATGGAGGGGTTGAAGATAGTCCTTTTATTGCATCGAATGTGAAGCTTTGTTGCTTCTTCTTACTAATTTAATCTTATACCAGAACACTAGGGTGTTTATTAGCTTCTTAAACTGTTTTGTAATCATTTGCACCCTCCTCCCCCCGATTGGATTAAGGTAAATATTAATGCTACTTTGTTAACAACTAATAAAGTTGGAGTTTTTAGAGATACTAATGGCAGATTTTTGTTGGCATTTTGCTTTCATTGTATGCACTAGGATATTGCTCAGGTGGACCTCTTAGCTATTACTTCTTTAAAGTCAGTTGTTCAGAATTGGATGTTAGAGGCAAAAGGCATAATCATTGAAGGTGACAGTTACAATATTATCAAATTACTGCATGACTTTTTGGCAAATCAAATCAAATGTCTAGGAACCAGTTATTGGAGGATCTATCATTCTTAAAGGAGTTTAATAATGTTTTATTTCCTTATTCTAGTAGACATTATAATAAGTTAGCTGATTTCTGTACTAATAAATTTTTAGTGATTTTTTATGGGTTGATATTTGTGACAATAAGATTCCTCCTTTTTTTCTTTTTAAAGGAGGAATGTGATAGTAGTACTATCACCATGATGTAGATTATTTTTTTGTCTTTTTTATTAATGCAATTGACATCTTAAAAAAAATAAAAAATTAAATATTAATCTCTAAAATAAGGTTGTGAAAATCCGACCGGACAACGAACTAGAAGGAGAGATTCACGTTTTGACCGATCAAACTGGGGTCGAACCGGATGACATAATAAATACTAATATTATTAAAAATTAATAAAATGAATGAAAAAATTACTCTAATACATTCACTCTACATTCCATTTTCATATCAAACAAATCTTAACTGTGCTAATAACATACATTTGATAACTGTTAATAGATACTTTCTTGAGAGTTAGATAAAGAAAAGAAACAAGCAAACTAATAATTTTACAAAGCATAAGGTGATCAGGCTTAAGGTCAAATTCAGATTTAGGAACAAGTTTCAAGTCTTGTTTTGGTTCACAAGAACATTCAAGTGTGGACTTAAACGTTGGTGCTAGTGCACATTTAGATTCAATCCAAGATTGAAGTTCATATTAAAGTGGAGGTTCAATTGTAAAATCATATTGGAATGGAGAATCTTCTTCTAGTTGAGGTTCTAAGTTTTAGGATCAAGTTTCAAGCTTTGTTTAACTCACAAGAACATTCACTTATGGACTTAGTTGCTGGTACAAGTGCACATTTAGGTAAAACCATTAAATCCTAGATTGAAGTTTGAACATTCTCCTAGTTGAGATCAATATCTGCAGATTAAATGAAATTTAATGCGTACCAAAATTTCAGTCAAACTTAAATGTAAGAGCATTAATAGGAGTTTCATCATATCCTAAATACTACCAACAAATTGAAATTTGAACTAACCGTGGCTTCTGTCTTAGCGAACCGAAGAAGATATGCAGAAAGCAGAGAAGAAGTTCGGAGTTCCAAATCGAAGAAGATATGCCGAACAAGCTGAAATTCAAAAAAAAAATTACATTTTAGAATAGGAAAATGAAATTAAAAACATACATGAAAAAATACATTCATTGATTCATGTATTTGGATTTGACAAAAAAAAAAAACTACTTTAGAAACAAACGATACAAACCAGAACGAGCGAGACTTTCCTTCTGTCTTCGTGAACGAGCAGGCCTCTTCGGTGATGGCTTCCGGCTTCGCGAACGAGAAGGAGACGCCACGAGATGGGAACGTCGGGAAGAGCCAAAGAAGAAAAGGCAAACAGACGAAACAAAGAACATACGTGACAAATGAAATAAGGTTTCTTTTTTTTTTTCATAAAGCATCACCGTCTTCGCATCTCTGCCGTCGGATCTTCTCAATTTCGCTAAAAAGGCGTTGTAGCTGAACCGTCCGTTTAGCAGAAATCGGGACCGGTTCAGCGCGCGGTTCGGCAACCGAACCGTCGGTTCGAGCGATTTAACTACGGTTTTATGATATAGAGGTTTTGATTTGAGCCGGTTCACGTTCAACCGGTTGAACCGAACGGTCCGATCCGATTTTGAAAACAATGCTCTAAAACGATTTTTTTAATTTTTATTTCGTTTGGTTTAGACGAAGATGCTGCCATCACTGTCCTTCGCAAAATGTCCCATCTACCATGGCATAATGCTGTGTAGCCATCTGCGCTACATTTCTCGGGGTCCACACAACGACAGCCAAACAAGATTTGACACTCGATCGTTTCCAACGAAAGCGAACCAATAAAATTGTGGGCGCATAGTTAGCTACACGTCACGTCGTGGGTGTCTACAGTTCGCCCAGGGACCGGTAGGTGAATGCCTTTGCTTGCCTCTCTACGATTTCATCTACCCCCGCTCTCTCTCTCTCTCTCTCTCTCTCTCTCTCTCTCTCGCTCGCTCGCTCTCGAATTCTTCTTTATATTGGCGTTTTTAACCCAAATCATCCAGATTGAGCTCTGTGATTTTGTTCTCCTCATTCTTTGAGCTCAATCAGATCTCGATTCGTCCGAGACCGGAGATGGCAAGGAAGAAGATTCGGGAATACGACTCCAAGCGACTCCTCAAAGAGCACCTGAAGCGACTCGCCGGAATTGAGCTTCAGATCCGCTCCGCCCAGGTATCATTTCCCAATCTTGAGATATATTACTTTCTTGCCTGACCTTGTTCAAGTCAATTCAAAGAATTTTTTTCATTTCAAATCTGCAAGTTGTAGCCTTTCTGTTTAATGATGGGTTTGCTGGAAAGGTCACCGAGGCTACGGATTTCACGGAGCTGACGGACAAGGAGCCATGGCTCTCATCCAGTAAGCTGGTGGTGAAACCCGATATGTTGTTCGGGAAGCGTGGGAAGAGCGGGCTGGTTGCGCTTAACTTGGATCTTGCCGAGGTGGCTCAGTTTGTAAAGGGGCGCCTAGGAGTGGAGGTGATTACTTACTTGCTTTGAGTTCTCTTCTGTTTACATTTCAGAATTCTGTGATGAAGTCATGAACTTTACCTTTTGGTCTACTTAGGTTGAGATGGGTGGTTGCAAGGCTCCAATTACCACATTTATTGTTGAGCCCTTTGTGCCCCATGAGCAAGAGTATTACCTCTCCATCGTATCAGATAGGCTTGGTTGTACTCTCAGCTTCTCCGAGTGTGGTGGTATTGAAATTGAGGAGAACTGGGACAAGGTGATTATGAAATAATAGTTGATGTTGGTTGCTTCTCATTTCATGCTTCATTTTCTTTCATTAGTATGCATTAAGGTAATAGAATCTATATGGATATCGGCATTGCAGGTTAAGACTGTGTTCCTCCCTACTGAGAAATCCATGACTTACGAAGTTTGTGCTCCATTGATTGCTACTCTTCCTCTGGAGGTGGGATTATAGATGTTTTTCTTAGTTTTAGTTCATGAATAGTGAATATATGACATTTAATTTTTCATTGTGTTTCTTCATGGAAAACTCATAAACTGGTTGACAATTGTTTTTATCTCAGGTTAGAGGGAAGATTGGGAACTTCATAAAAGGGGTATTTGATGTATTCCAAGGTATTCTTTTATTTGAAAACAATTCCCTTCCCTCATAACTGGAGACTTATTGTTACTTTCAGATCTAATTTTGTGTACAGGCATGCTCTTTTGTGTTAGTTAACTTTTGAAAATAATCTATCTGCAGAAGTGGCATTGTGTTGATTCTTAGTTTGTAAATGTTAGTTGAGAATCCTTGCTGACATATGCTTGATCATTATGAAAAATTATTATTTTTTCATTGTTTGAAAGAGTGCTATTGGAAGATTTGTTCTTTGTGTGACTTGAAATTAATATGGAGAGCAACTTGCGCAGATTTGGATTTTAGTTTTCTTGAGATGAATCCGTTTACATTGGTTAATGGAGAGCCTTATCCGCTGGATATGCGAGGAGAATTGGATGACACGGCTGCTTTTAAAAACTTTAAAAAGTAAATTCACAAATATCTCTTGAAGCTGATACTATCAATCTATTATTATTTTTAATTCTGATAACACTTTATTCAAAATTTGCAGATGGGGGAGCCTAGAATTTCCATTACCTTTTGGTAGGGTTTTGAGTCCAACAGAAAGCTTTATCCACTCCTTGGATGAAAAGGTGGGAAAATGTTTAATAACCGTAAATGCTCTTATTCAGACTACCTTGCACATTTATATTGAAGTCCTTAGAATTGTAGCATACATGTTGGAGAGTAGACAAGTAAGATTTAGGACAGCAGAATAACTTTGAAGAAAGCAACTTGTGTGATGCAAGGATATGCTTGCTGACTTGATAACAGCTTTTTAGAATGTCTCTGAAACATAAGGAAAAACAAGTTGTACTTAATATTTTGTTGACTGTTGGGTCTAGTGGTGAAATTAAATTTGTCCTGGTTGAATTGCTTAAAATAAACCTTTTTTTTTTTTTATATCTATAGTAAGAGTTTGGGCTTTCTACAACAAGAACAACAACGATATCAAGTCTTTTTTCTCACTACGTGTTGGCTACATGAATCTTTTTTCTCTATTATGTTCTATTAATAGTCAAATTTTCATTTAAATATAATAAAAGAAGGTTATTTTTAATACTTTATAACCAAGTCGTTTTAAGTCTACCCCTACCTTTCTTAACGTAGGCCAAATTTAATACATGTACTCTCCTAACAAGGTCATCGGAAAGTCGACGTTTTATGTGACCAAACTATCTAAGATGACTCTTTCTAATCTTATCTGCTATTGGAGTTACTTCAACCTTTTCATGTACATACTCATTTCGCATTATTTCTAAGAGTAAAACCACTCATCCGTTAAAGCATCCTCATCTATGCAACACTAAACGTAATTTTATGCTTCTCTTTTAAGGGCCAAAATTTTGCACCATAATGCATTTCAGATCTCTCTACTATCTTATTATTTTCCCTTGAGTTTGAGGAGTACTCTTTCATCACACAATAGACCCGATATTTTTCTCCACTTCAATCATCTAATTTGAATTCTACTAATAATTTTCTCATCTATTTCATCGTCGCTTTGAACAATAGACCCTAAGATATCTAAAACAATAAAACCGAGTCTAGGCTTTCTAAAATTAAAAAATTGCTTGAAAGATGTTTTAAACCCGAGTCTAGGCTTTCTAAAATTAAAAAATTGCTTGAAAGATGCACTTTTTCTGTTCTAAGTGTTGTTTTATATGAAGATGCAGCACTGTATGTTTGAACTTTAGTAAGTTATCTTTAAATGTTTTCTTCATATTCGTAATTGAGTATTTAGCCTACCTTCTCTACAAATGACAAGTTTTAGATATTTTGATGTTGGATCATACTAGTTGCAGGCTTTTACGAATATTGGGTGTTGGGAGGAGTTGATGTACGCTGCCCTGTACTTTCATTTTAGAGACTATTTTCCTGAATTAAACCAATGAACTCCCAGTCATAATAACACTTGAGATATTTAAATGTTAGAAGGAAGTTAAACATGATCTGATGATTGATTAATCTTGGTAAATGTAAAAAGTGCTGTGTAAAATGGCATATATATCATAGAAATTGCATAGGTAGCTGCATTGGATATAGCTTTTGAGGGAATAAACCAAGATTGCGTAGGCTTACGAACAAGATCAAAAGTTCTTGAAAAGTTGGAGGGTAGATTAGCGTTAAAAGATTGCGAAGGAAAATGTGTTAAAAGAACTGCGTTAATCATATTAACACCAAATGCATCACGTTGTCGGAAACATGAAGAGTGGTGTTTCTGGTGCATGAGGTTATATAATGAAGTTATAGCATTTCTTTTTTTGATGTTTTATGCAAAGAGCATAACCTAATAGGAGCAAGTAAAAAGGAATCATATGGCGCACCTCAATAGTGGCATCTAAGGATGATAATGTTGAAGATGTAGTTTTGTTTTGAACCTATGCTTAATTCATGCCTTTGAGAATGATTCTTAAAATGATGTTTCTTTGGTATAAAATGTTATCAGGAAGAAAGGAACTAGGCATGAGAAGACCAATTTTTCCATTTATTTGGGATGGCCTTAGTTCCTGAACTGTTTTACACCAATTATTTATGAAATTACAGTCACTTATTTGAGAAAGAATGCAAAATTAAGGAGGAAAAAATCCCTAACTGTGACTGTGTATACTTAATGTAGTGTGAATAATGCGAATAATCTACCAACTTAATTAAAGCCTTGGGCTATTTAGCAGACACAAGATATTAGATTATCATATTTTTAGCTACTACCAATAAAACATATTTGCTGATTTGAAGTAAAAGTTCAATATATTAAAATAGTGACTGACGAAAGTTATATTTGAGTTATCTATGCATCAGCATTCAATATTCGATTTCTCGAGGGAATGTTGTCTCTAGTTCAAGCCATGTAATTTCTCCTTTTTTTTGGTACTTCATAAAAACTATCTAAAGTTGCTCATCGGTATTACTTGTTATAGAATTCTAATGCTGATATGCCAGCCTTACATTGCCTAGTTTACTAGTTTTTCTTTGCTTCCTAATCTACTCTAGTTTTTATGTTTGCTGCATCATTAATCAAGCTGTTTGTGAGCATCTTCCTCTTCATGTGAGCAGCAAGATGCCCGTAATTTATTCTTAAAAAAAAGGGCAAATGGAACTAGAAAATTGGAGCAACTTGCAAAAAACCAATGCTTTTAAAACCGGACCGGACCGGCCGGTTCAACCGGTTGAACCGCGAACCGGCCGGCTGGCTGGTTATGGTTTAGCATATAACCGGTTTCGCTCAAAACCGCCTTTGAACCGCTTGAACCGGCGGTTCGACCGTCGAACCGCCGAACCGGTTCCGGTTATTGATAACCGTCCGGTTCAATTTTAGCGAGATCCGACAGCTGTGATTCGGGAATGCGAACTTATACGGGAGAGGGAAAAACGAAAACACTCATTCGGACGATCTTCTTCCCGACTTCTCGGCTCGTTCGCACTTCGCTCTCCCCGTCTCAATGTCTCGTTCGTTCACGAATCCAGAAGAGTAGAAGACAACAAGACAACAACGTCTCCTGCTATCTATTCGTTCGCGAAGCTAGAAGCCGAAGGCCGAACACCGTTTTGGCGTCTCCTGTTCCAGGTCTAGGTTTGTTTCTAGAGTTTTGTTTTTGTTTTGTTTTTTTTTTCAAAATCTACAGATTTCAATCATTTCATTTGCTCTGTTCTCTTTTTTCTTTTCTTATGATAGTGCTATTTTTTCAAAATCTCGGCTTTCATTTGCTTTTTGTATCATGCTCATCTCCGTTAGCAACAGTAGCTACTAGTTACTCTTTTTTTTTTGTTCTTGTTGTGTTTTTTTTTTTCTTTTTTTATTAATTATGATAATGAAATCAGGAGCAAAAGCTCAAGAAAAATTCTTTTTTTTTTGTTTATTTGGTTTGGCTAGACGTCCTTTATGCACACATGAATGGGATTAAATTTATTATTTCTGCAAGTTTGTTGTGAGTTTGCTTGTTTTGTTAGTAAGAACCTTTTATCCTATTTTAGATTCATGAATTATTTGACAGTTGTATTAAGCTTGCGTTCTTCAATTTGGAATGTCAAATTGCTCTGTAATGTTCCTCTAGATAGCCATACAAGATAGTTGTATAATTATTATAATATTTAAATATAATAAGTATTTATTACGTCATCCGGTTCGACCCCCCGGTTCGACCATCGAACCCCAAACCTCTCATTCTTCCGGTTCATTGACCGGTCCGGTTTTAAAAGCCTTGCAAAAAACAAACATTTATCTACTTACCAATCCAATGATAATTTACATTCTATTACCCAAATAAATATAATGTTGAAGTCACTCTACCAAACACAATACTAATCCTCATGAACATTCCTATTGGGAGAAAAATTTCCTTTGTGTGCTTCCTAATGATGATTAGCTAATAGTTCAGGAAGCCAAGAAGCAAATAAGTAAATGTTATTTTGTATTTGTCTTACTAATTCTGCAACGTGATTGTAATATTTCGGACTACAATGTAATCCTTTTTTGAACAGCTTGCTATTTGCTAAACTGTATAGAATAGGTAGCTGATTTACCCCCTCTTTTCAGACCAGTGCCTCCCTTAAATTCACTGTGTTAAATTCCAAAGGGCGGATATGGACAATGGTGGCTGGGGGCGGTGCCAGTGTCATATATGCTGACACAGTAAGCAATTATATTCTCTTTGGCGTTGTAAATCTATTTTCATTGGCATTTTTGATAATTAATTACTAAGTAATCATGATGTGCTTTTGTTTCTTAGGTTGGTGACTTGGGCTATGCATCAGAGCTTGGAAATTATGCTGAGTACAGTGGTGCTCCAAAAGAGGAAGAGGTTTTACAGTATGCCAGAGTTGTGCTTGATGTAAGAAACAACTAAATAGTTGTTTTGGCTCTCCATATACTAACTATAAGCTGATAAACCCATAAAACTGTGTTTCCGCTGTTTTGCTGTAGTGTGCTACTGCGGATCCTGATGGCCGCAAGAGAGCTCTTCTCATTGGTGGTGGCATAGCTAACTTCACTGATGTTGCTGCTACTTTCAATGGAATTATAAGAGCCTTAAGGGAAAAGGTCCAATTAAATTTAAAACATAAGTTTTTGTTTCATTCTCTTCCATATCTACTCAAAATTTTTTTCCCCTGCAGGAATCCAAATTAAAGGCAGCTAGAATGCACATTTATGTCCGAAGAGGAGGCCCAAATTACCAGACAGGTCTAGCAAAAATGCGAGCTCTTGGTGATGAACTTGGTGTTCCTCTTGAGGTAACAAATTCCCTTCTTCTTGTAGTGTTCTCATTTTTGATATTATCTTCAGCTTCCCATTAATATATCAAGTTTAATACAAGGGTTGACTAAGAAGTTCTAGTAGATGGCATATAGCTTTATTTTAAGAACTTTCACATCTGCCAGGGTTGATTTTCACATTTTATGTTTGCATTATTGGCATTTGGCACAAGGGCACATGCACCCCATTAGTGCGGATTTACTCCACTATGTTGTTTGATTTGGTGACTCAATATATCTCAACCCTTCTTTATTTTTTGACTTGTACTTAAAAGAATTAAAAAAGAGAGAGAGAGAGAGAGAGAAAGAGAAAGTGAAAGAGTTGGAAAAATACAGCAACAACGATAACAACAAACCTTTATTCCAAGGTTTAAAATTGCGTAACTGCGCCTCGAGGCGGTTTTCGTCCGTGAGGCGAGGCGTAAGCCTCGAGGCGGTCTGAGGCGTAAGCTATTAAAAGTCAATTTCTCATTTAAATATAATATAAAAAGGGTCATTTCTTTTTTCTTTTTAATTAAAAGGGTCATTTTTAATATTTATAACCAAGTTTTTTTAGGTTTACTTCTTTTTTTACATAAGTTATATCTAATACTTGTACTCTCCGAACATGATCGTCAAAGGCCAATGTTTTATGTGACCAATTTATCTAAAGCAACTATCTCTAATCTTATTTGCACATATATACTCGTTTTATATTCTATTTCTAAGTATAAAATCACTCATCCATCTGAGTATTCTTATCTCTGCAACACTTTACTTAATTTTATGCTTCTCTTATAATGGCCAATATTATGTGTCATAAGCATTGCAAGTCTCACCACCATCATATAAAATTTTCTCTTAAGTTAGAGGGGTACTTTTCTATCATGTAACAGACACGTTGCATTTCTCCACTTTAACATATATACTCGTTTTATATTCTATTTGAATCATTTTTTATATTAAGTGATTTTTTATTATTTTTAATTTAATTTCATATTCTTTTCACCATTTGATTATAATAATTACTTGAATTATAATAATTTTCTCTCATTCATAATAAGTGAGCCGGCTCGTGAGTAGGCTCGAACTTAATTAATTAATCAATTGAAGCTTTAGCTAAGGATGACTTGAGCTCGACTTGACTCGTCTACACCCCTATTCAAAATAATATTAAAAAATTTAGTAAAGCTAAGAAATTTCATGATCTCCAAAGTATTTTCACATATCTATTGGAATATCATAAGGTCTTATTGTGTTTCCACACTTTATTTCCTTTAAAGCATCTTGAACATTGGTTTTAATAATATGACCATAAAACAAAAATCTCTACTTTCATTTAGGATATTAATATCACTAAAGTCAACATATTTTGAGAACCTTTATTAAAAAATTATCGAAATATATCATCTACCTATGTTGAATATCCTCTTCTAAGAAAAAACATTTTTTGATTTTCATCTTGCATAAAATTCACTTGACTAAATACATCTCCAAAAAGAAAGAGTTTGAATGTAGAAATAAAAATTTTGATTATATAAGTTTCACAATCTTAGAAAGATTTTTTTTTTTTTAGAAGAGGTACTTACAACTTTTTGACGATGTTTGTAGATTGGCAACTAGCTGAATATAGAGTGAAGTTTTAAGATAATAAATATTGAATTTATTGTATTGCAAACTTCATTATATATCATAATAGTTGCCAATTCATAAAATATCATCAACAAGTTGGAAATACCTTTCGTAATTTTTCTAAGAATGTGAAACCTATATAATCACAATTTTTGTTTCTACATTCCAACTCTTTCTCTTACATGATGTAAAGATTTAAATCAAGTAAATTGTATTAACTATAGTATAGAATGAAGTTTTAAGATGATAAATATCAAATTTATTGTGTTGCCCGTGTAAAAAGTTTTCATATATATATATATACACACACATGCGTGCACACAAGAATAGATTAGACTATTGTCTTTTTTTTGGTGAAAGGATATAAACCTTTATTCTCTCAATTTTTTTTTTTTTTTAAAACCTTTATTCTCTCAATTTTTTTTTAAATTTTTTGTTATTTTTTATTTTTGTTTTATTCTCACATATCATTCTTCCTTTATTCAAATTTTTAAATAATTGAGATATAAAGTTGTTGGAAGTCATTGATTAAAAAAAAAAACGAAAAAGGTTATCTTTTTAGCTATTTTAACTTTAAATCTTTAAAAAATTTGGATGAAGGTTGAAAGATCTTATGAGGCTGCAGATTCTTATTTTCTAAAAAGACTGTAATCTGTTTGTTCCTCTTTATACATTGAAAAAAAAAAAAAATTTTATGCATCATCTCCAAGTTTCTTGCATTGTATTGAAAGAACTTAAGGATTTTTTAATTCCAGTTGTTTAATTGAATAATCTTTTTTATAGGTTTATGGACCTGAGGCAACAATGACAGGAATCTGCAAGAGCGCCATTGATTGTATTATGTCTGCTGCGTGATCGACCTTTTATTAGTTTTTTCTTCTTCTTTTAATATTTGTTACCCTTTGGTTTGCTGGAACATAAAATAATGTTCATGGTACTATGGCAGTGAGCATAATAGATATTTATCCGTCACAATCTAAAGTGATTTAAATGTGCTACGTTGTGTCTCCTTATTTGTAACTGAAACTATTTTTTTTTTGTTTTTATTTTTTTTTATTTTTTTTTTAACTGAAATGAAATTGTTTACTATTTGATTTTATTTTATGAGCTCTTATGTGGGCCACTTTATAGATTTATCAATTTCCAAATAAACTTACATTGAGTTGGCATCTTATTTTTTTTATTTGCTCATATATATATATTAAAGGATTCATGTCATGATTATTTGATAAATTTTATGTTGGTTGTCAAGGACTTAATCACAACCCTCTACTTTTCTCACATAGGGCTTGTGACATGATAATGATGTATTAAGCAAAGATAAATAAAAAAAGAAGCTTTGTTATCAAAATTGGTTTAGTTGTAAAAATTTAAAAAAATTGAAAAGATATAGACCCATAAGGAGTATAAGAAAGTAATATATGATGCAAAAAATTTAGCTTTTAATATGTTATAATGTAGATTAGATATTAAGGAGGGCCAAAGATGCATGTATAAGTTAACCAAGCAAGGAGATAGGAGAAGTAAGGATTTAGTACAAGTAAATATCATTAAGAATGAAGATCAAAATTTACTTATATTAGAAGAGGATATTCAACAAATGTGGATGAGATATTTTGATAAGTTTTTTCAATGAAGATTTTGAGAATAAGATTGAGTTTAGTGATCATAGCATCGTAAATGAAAATAGATATTTTTATTTTTATTGATGTATTAGTAAAATCAAAGTTAAAGAGGTTTTAAAGAAAATGAAGTGTGAAAAAATTATTGGTCTTCATGAAATTTCAAGAAGTGTGAAAATGCTTAGGAGATGAAAGAATTTTTTGGCTAAAAAAAAATTTCAGATGAGTGGAGAAAGAGTATGTTAATTCATATTTTTAAGAATAAAGCTTATGCACAAGATTGTACAAATTATAGAATATTTAAGTTAATGTGTCATACTTTATAAATTTTTTTTAGAGAGTTATTGAACTTAGGTTACGATGTGATACTAATGTTTCTCAAAATCAATTTGGATTCATATATGCTGGGTAGGTCTACTAAGGAAGCTATACATTTATTGAGAGATTTAATGGAGAAGTATAGGATGAATAAAGAGGATCTACCTATGATATTTATTGATTTAAAGAAAGTTTATGAAACAATTTCAAGAGAAGTGCTCTCGAGAATTTTAGAAAAGGAAGAGGTTAATAATGCTTATACTCAAGTAATTAAGGATAAGTGCTTAGGACTTGTTATTAATGTTCAAACACAAGGAGGTTGGACCAAGTATTTTTCTATTTCAGTTGAATTACATCAATGATCAACTATAAGCATATATCATTTGGCTTTAGTCACGGATGTTCTTATTAGACATTTGCAGGAGGATGTACCATAGTGTATGCTTCTTTTTTATTGATATTTTTCTTGTTGATAAGATTAAAGTGGGAGTTGAAGGTATACTTGAATTATGGAGGTCAACCTTAGAGTCCAAAGGTTTTCGTTTTAGTAGTTTTAAAATCGAATACACATAGTATAATTTTAATAGTAATAAATTTAGTGGGGCGACTGTGACTTTGGGCGATCAAGTCATTAATAAAAGTACATGTTTTAAATATCTCGAGTCTATTGTTCAAAGTGATGGTGAAATAGATGGAGATAATATAAGTAGAATTCAAGTTGGTTGAAGTGGAGAAATGTATTGGGCTTATTATGTGATAGAAAAATATCCCTCAAATATAAGAGAAATTCTATAAGATGGTAATGAGATCTGTAATGCTTTATGGCGTAGAATGTTGGCCATTCGAAGAGAAGCATACAATTAAGTTAAGTGTTGCAGAGATGAGGATGCTCAGGTGGATAAGTTACTTTACTTTAAGAGATAGAATGTGAAACGATCATATACGTGAAAAGGTAGGAGTAGCTCACATGATAGATAAGATTAGAGAGAATCACCTTAGATGGTTTGGTCACATAAAACGTCGGCCTTCTGATCACTTTGTTAGGAGAGTAGATGTGTTAAATTTGGCCTATATTAAGAGAGGTAGAGGTAGACCTAAGACTTGGTTAGAAAATATTAGAAATGACCTTTTTTATTAGATTAAAATGAGAATTTGACTCTTAATAGGACGCAATAGAGAAAAAGAATTCATGTAACTGACCACACGTAGTGGGATAAAGGCTTGATGTTGTCGTTGTAATAATTTTTAAGTTAGTATTTAATGTGTTTTAAAACATATTTTAGATATTTTTACTTCATTAAATATTAATAAGCAGATGAAGGCTAGAATCATTGAAAAATATATCATACTAAAAATTTGAGTAGTTAGGCATGGATGCATCAAAACTTAGGCTTTGTTTTGGGAATTTTTCATTTTGTTTTCTAAAAAAGGTTTTTAGTACAAAAATTTATTGAAAGTAGCAAAAAAGATATGGTAAATAATTATCAAGTCTTTTTAGTGAAACGAAGAAATTCCTGTCTAGATATTTTAATTTTAATTTTGTTTAGAATGAGCTTTAAAATTTGGTAACAAATATAACACTAATCTTAAAGCAATATAAGAATTTTAAAATCTATGATGATTAGTTTTTTGGTTAGAATATAGAATCTTTTTTTAAAAGGAAAAGTGTGGCAAAATTATTCAAGCAAGCACTTAATATTGGTCTTGAATTACCGGAGTGCAAAAGACCCGAAGAAGCTGATCAAAATGACAATTCAAATTATTGCATATATCACTGAGTTATCAGCCACATTATCAAAGATTTTTACATCTTCAAAGACTGGCTTGAATAGAAATATAGAGATGGTGAATTCACGCTTTCAAATAGCATTTTATTTCACCCAAAAAAGAAATATGTGGGCTCCAAAAATTCGTCGCGCGCCCTAGCCTCTCTGCACCATCTCTTTTCTTTGTTTGTGGTTGTAAAGAATTTTAATGAGCATAGGTTTCGGGTAAATTTTCATAAGGTAGATTGGGTTTGAAGATAAGACACACCCAGATATTTTGCCCTCATTTTGTGAGGACTTTATGATCCAAGTTATGGTTTCCTAGCTATAGGGTCATGCCTCTATAGTTAATTACCCATCTTGATAACAAGAGAGAACTTTTGATTAAGGCTAGTCGTTAAAGAGGTCACATAGGTCACAAATCCAGTGTATAATATTAACAATTTTAGGGTTTGAATTTGAGATATGAATTTTGGAGTTTGCGACTTAAAGTTTATCACCATAAACTTAAAATTTGTGATGGGGGGAATGAAAATGAGTTCGATCAATATCCCATGGCTTCGTCGTCCTGGGCTATCATGTTCCTTATATTAGAATCCACCTTAGCTGATAGAGGGCTTTATGTCTGTTGAATATATTATATGATTCATTACTAAAGGGTTTGACGCCATTAGTGAACATATGGGCTTTGGCCGTGATCGTAATATAATGGTGTCATTTTGTGCCAAAACCACCAGATTAGAGGGCATGTGCTATGTCCCTATTAGCAAGAGACTATTTGAGGATGAATCTTAGTGATACACCTAACATGACCTTTTCTCTTTGTGAGCTAAGGTTTATTTCAAATTTATCACCCCCAATAAACAGTTGTGAGAGGTGGATGGGTTTTAGTTTTTTTTTTTTTATAGAGGATAGCTTTCATTTTAATGATTTATACTTTTATTGGATTTTAGATTTTACACCTCTGATTGCTATTTACATTTAACGCAGCCATCATTAATGTGATGTTAAAGTCACTTGCATTTTTGTAAAAATTTGAGAGGTATTTAAAAGTTTGTGGTTAACTCATGTCCTTTAATGGAGGAGGATGAAATTTGAATATTCAATCCATACAACATTCTCAGACTTTGGCATTTGCAAATTTATTGCATTTGTTAGGACACATGCGAGTTATGTTTAGGTTGAAAATAGAATGTCGTATTATTGAGCATTTGACCCTATGCAACATTCTTAGATATTTGTGTTTGTAACTTTAAAATATTTATCCGAGCACATGCATGTGGTGTTTATTGCTTACATTTATATGGTCTTTTTAATGTCTATTATATGTTGCATTTTATATAGTTCCAAGTGGTGTATTCATAAGACCTAGACAACTTATGTAATAAATCAAATCACTAAGTAATCTGATCAGCTCAATTCACTAATACATTTGCCTTATATGTTGGCATAATTTTTCTATTGTTCCAAAACAAGCTTCATAAAGCATCTAAGGTTGGCAAATTGTCATTCCCTTTTAGTTTGACCAATTGTTTCCATAATCTAGAGTCATGTTTCAATAGAGTTACCATGTTGTAAGCATTTCTCAATATCATTGGAAATAAAATTTTATTGCAGTGTATAACTTGATCGGAAAGTTTGTTGGTGATTTGTCTTTTTTTTTTTCATTTCTAAACTATTTTGAATGATATAATTTCCATATTAATCCTGATCTAGGATATAAGCATATTGTACAATCTCACTCATAATACAAGAATTTTGTAATTCAACAGTACAATACTCCAAAACTCTCTTAATAACTCATTATCTATAGGGATGCATAGAGAGTGTAGCAACATGTCCTCAAAAAGCAAAAATGATGAAATCAATTCTCTTAGCTGACACAAATTTAGTATACCCATGTTACAAGAAAATCTATTGTAAGACCATTTGACATGCTCTTCAGGCCTTTACCTCCTTTCAAATGACCATGGTAATTGTATTATGTAATTAGCTCATCCAAACTAATCAATCCACATTGATAGTTGGGAGCCTAAGATTAGATCCATCAATATTAGAGTCATTTTAAAGTAAGTGATTTCAATCTTGACGATCCAAAATGAAATTATGAGTATGATTCAAGTGTGATCCCCCTTCTTTTTTCTTATCAATTAAAATCATACATAATAATATTAAAAATTACTTTAATTTAAAATGGTAGACTTTGTTTTAAATTAAAAATGTGAAGGTTATTTATCAATTTCAATTTCAACAGCCTCTCGGCATTCCCTCCTCGCAATGGGAGGTAGGGAG